CCCAGGACAACTTGAGCTGACTATTAATAAGTGTACATTTTCATAGACTGAAAGGCTTGAAAATGAGCTTTGGGTGGGACATCACAAAGACATTTCTTCTTTTTGTCATTTAGACAATGACACAAGCACAGCAAAAGAAATGTTGCCTGAACAGGATTTCTGGCTCTGACATGCTTTTTGTTGCTCGCAACAAAAACTGATTAGTACATTTGGAAAGGAAAGATTGAACAACATTTGGCAAGCGCAGGTGCCGCCGCGGAGCGTGCAGCCAAGCCTCCCACAGTGGGAGGGAAACCTGGCAGTGCCCAGCGAGGCTGTGCCCACTCTCACAGGCATGATTCACTCACTCTCTCTGGTACCAGATGAATATCATGGGGTTGTGTTTGAATACACAGATTTCATGCAAAAGGAACTTCAAGACAGGCCACATGCAAGTCTACCAATGATAGACGATTACTGGGGCCTGTGAGAAACATGAAGAATTACGTGTGTGTTCCTTAATAAAGGCATGCACAAGTCGATAAAATATATGTGGTATGGTTTCACCACAGTTGTGTACAAAATAGCTATATGTCCATATATGCACAGTAAATTGTGTAACACCCTGATGAACAGAACACGTCCATTAATTACATGCATGTCTGGGGCACTAATAAAACCTTGACACAGTGTATTTGATGGTCTCATGGAGAAACTAACAAAGCATTACACTACTAATGTCAGACACAGCTAGGTGAAGCTCTAAGACTGAGGAGCATCCGTATAAACATTGTGTTAGCACATGTACCTCCTGCTCTTACCAGAGTGGTGGGGTCATTCCATTTGACATGAGGCAGACATGGAAAAAACAAACTTATATAAGTACCATGAACAGTTCATGATGACAAAAGCCTGAGTTACTGTATGCACACACAGTAACAGTGGCTTTCATTCACTTGGTTAAGGCTAAACATTGCACAGGATAATGAAAGCATTGCACTATGCCAATGACATAGCAAGATAGGTTCACACTGATGTGGTAAGAGCGTTTTTCAGAACAAGATAGTTGAAACTGAGCAGAAATGGGGTTCAAAACTTCAAACTCACAGAAATGAAATTGAAAAAGGGGGAGAAGAAGTAGCAGAGAGAAAAACCCAACAGCAATCCCATTTTTGTTATAGTTCCGTACCAGTGCAAACACCATCCCTCTCGTACCATATTCATGTCGATGCCGTTAGTGTACGTCCAAGCGTGTTGGAAGTACTCCTCCAGCCTCTGCCTCAGTGGGTTTGGGATCTGGTGGAAGCGGATGAATTCTTTGACCCGCAGCATCTGGAGGTGATACCTGGCTGTACCTGAATACAACCTCTGGATGATGGCGGACACATTTCCAAAGATGCTGGCGTACATTAGAGCTGGGAGAGAAGCCATAGAGGTGACCTTTGAGTACAGATGGGTTCATCTCTTCATATACATAACACCTACCTTGGGAGTTGCTGCTACTGCCAGAAATGCACAAACTGATGTCCTGAATGTGGACTGTGAATCCTTTATGTTCCAATTATGCTATATCAGCAGGTTTTAACAGTGCATTTATTTATATTTAAAAAATACATTGGATCTTTCATGTAAAATGAAAACAGTACTAGTTTCAGTGTTTGGCTTTATGTCTTTCCTAACTGTCTGTATGTGCTGTCATTCAGTTATCACTCACATCCAATGAGCATAACACATATGGAAAAGATCTTCTCAGAGTTGGTGTTGGGGGAAACGTTCCCAAAGCCCACGCTGGTCAGACTGCTGAAGGTGAAGTAGAGTGCTGTGACATACTTATCTTTGATGGAAGGACCTGAGCTTGGGTCACTGTAGTTGTATTTTTTCCCTGTAAAATGCAACATAATCATTTTTCTATCCTACTTTTAAATTCAGCTTTAAAATAGAGAACTGAGGGAAGGAACTATCATCAACAGACATTACCTATTGACACCCCCAGGTTGTCCAGCCAGCCAATTTTATGCTCCAGGTAAGGCTTCTCCACATTTCCAATTGCGTACCAGATGCAGGCCAACCAGTGTGCAATGAGGGCAAAGATGCACATGAGCAGCATGAGGACAGCAGCACCATACTCTGAGTAACGGTCCAGCTTACGGGCCACTCGTACAAGCCGTAGGAGACGGGCCGTCTTTAGCAGACCGATCAGAGTGGTAGTCTGGAAAACAGAGAAGTGCACGCTCACTTAAATCTATGTGTTTTAAATACTCTACGTTTGGATATGTACATGGTACAATGTGCTAAAATATGTGATACAGGGAGTGATGGTAGTTTACTCATGTCCTTATTCTACTGGGTGATAAATCTGGGGATGTGTAGGTATTCAGGGATTTCAAAAAAAATCCTACTATTTAAAACTTCCTATTTTTTTTTCTTTTAGGCTCACGCAACACAAATAGAGTTCCTAACATTTGTAATGTTTAGTTATTTATTTAATCTCCGACAGGGACCAGTTCCCTGTTGGAAACAGGGAACTATGGCGTTACCTGTTGAGAACAGGGAACTTGCAAATTGATAAATTATACAACACTCAAAACATGGCTAAAAGGAGTTTCTCTCGTCTCTTTTTATTTATCAGGGGTTATAAATGAAAGTTAATAATGGCTAATAATATCGGTCTGCAAATAAATCAGTTGGGCTCTAATGGTTATCAGTCCATCAGTGATTAGGTTCACTCACTGTTTAGTTAAGCTTATAAGTAATTCTGACCAGTGTGTAATCTTTAGCTACTTTCCTTCCAACATTATTCAGCATCCCCACAAAGCAAAGTCAAAATTCAAAAGTTAAAAAAGGGATCACAGGTCTGATCAAAACACATGTGGGATGGCAAACTTCAAGTATGTCACATCTTTGCAAGCAAAGAGAACTCATTATTTGTCTACCATTTGTTTAGGGTTGGGTTTATGAGAATGTTCGGCTCATTATTACCGACTCAAAAACATATGGTGTAGCTTTTTGCAACATACAGTAGTAGATCATTCGTGCTGGTATAAAGAGATCTTTCAAGGTCTCAGCATCCCTTGGGGTCAGCACAACTTCCCTGCCTCAAGCTCTACAAATCATAAAATGTCAGTAAGTATCTGGCTTCTTAACTGGCATGCCAAAAAAGCGTATGAAAGAGAGAAGGTTGCTTTGGTGATTCATCTGTTGGCAGATGAAAAAAAAAAACCTTTTCAATAACTGCATATGATGATGGCAAAATGAGCTTAAAAAAACAAAAAATATCACCAGCTTGGAACCTCCATCAAAGTCTCAAAGCCAGTGTGCCAATGTGTCCCCATTTTTGACACAATGAATACAGAGTGTGTAACGTGAGAGTGGAGCGGCTATTAGTGTGGAGCAATCTGTAAACACAGTACAAGAAAATGCTAATAGGTCCAACCACTCCCTATCACACCTGGCAATTATCTTAATATCCTTAAAGAAGCACAAAGCTTAGTAACTGTGCTTCGTCACTTCTGTGCTTGCCTATTGTTTTATTACCTCTTGTGCAGGTGAAAGCAAATACGACATTGATTATTCAAAGCACTAAAAAGTAAGAAGGGGGCTTGTTGTTTGTTGTTTTGTTTTGAAAGCAAATGACTGATGAGAAAGAGTGCGTCTACATCATGGTGAGGAAGAGTGCTGTAGCTGCTTCTGATGGGTCCATTAAAGAGCCTCCATTCTTCCAATCTCACCCCTAAATCACAGCCATCTGTCATTGCAGTGTTCCCTTTCAGTGACAACATAGTGAACAGTGAATGAATCGTGTATAGAAACAGATGGGCTTCAAATTATCCAGCATGCAAGTGACTCTGAGTGACCTGCACAGATGACACAGTGCATGCTGTATGATGTGTAAAATTGATTACCGTAAAATCTTAAAGTAAGTTGAATGCATTTGGGGCTAAGAGTGAAGCTAAAGCTAACATTAGGAACAAACTATATGAAAAATACCCAGAAAATATCCAAATATCCCTCTGGTCATCTGCCACTGTAGCTTTGCAGGCTCCCCTGGCCACTTTTAAAACCCAAGAGTCAACCAAGGGTGTGATATAACTTTCTGTCTTCAAAGTGGTCACATTCCTTCTATCCGACAAGAGCTCTGCACGGCACAGAACAAGCCAATAATCACCCAAATGTTTCCCTTCTTCATGTGATCTATAAAGAGAACATATTATGCACAACTATAGTGTCTACTGTCTGAGTGAACAGTTGCAGAAAAATTTCAAGTACAAATCTGTCTGTTCTTCCTGTGTGCACAAGCGAGACTGAGGGGGCTGCCTGTTACAACGAATCTGCCTCCTTTCTCTTTGTTTAGTACAGCCGTTGCTGCAGGTTTTACAGCATAATGGAGTTGGAGTGCATTTTTGTACAGTCTGCTTTAACCAAAGGGAAAACAATGCACATTTACCCTCTGAATGGAGACAGAATATGAAGCCGGGAAGCAATCCATTACACATGCCTCACTTGATTTGCATGAAAATATTCACAGGACATCTGTTATAGAAAAGAGGATTTTCTTGTGTTGTTCACTTGACCTTAAAGGGTTAATTTAATATTTGTAATCATAAATGTCTCTTTCAGAAGGGCAGATACAGTAATATGATCAATTTTGTGGAACTGTCATGAAGTAGCTAGACACACTGGAAGCACAGTGTTTATGTAAATTTACTACCAGGCATGGAAGAGATGTATGTAACCACCCACGCACCCTGACATTTTGGCTTTGTTCCAGGTTTACAGTGGTCTGCCCAGAATTTCAGGTGAATGACATTTGAATTGTGATTTAGGTTCACTTTTTTCAGGGATCCTCCATAGTTTGCAAATGTGTCAAATGCGGGCACTATATCCATGTGAATGTGGACATAATATGCAAACTATCTGATCTTATCACAACAGGACATTGATATGAAAATGATGGAGGAGTTGAAACAAGTCCTGCAGGCAAATTCGAAGCCACATCATTTTCTTTTGTGTGCCAGCCTGCAGCCAAGTCCAATCAAAGCAGGATATCACCCAGGAATATGCACCCAATAAAATCAGCAGAAAAGACCCAACAAAACTCTTAACACATTGTCAGATGTGGTTTCCAGGCAACAAAAGTGCATGAAATTAGGGCTAAAAATAGTTCCTGTTTCTGCACAGTGAGCTAAAATAACACACCTTAAAGACCAGAGCTAAAAATGTACATGGATATGTTATTTTCAGCTTCTCTTGATTGGAGGAGGTAAAAATACAACTTTTTTTTTTTGCCTCATCCTGACACTGTGTGCTGTGGACGCAAATTGTAAGTAGAACACATCCTGTCACTGCACAAGTCATTTGGCTGTATGATGAGGACGTATGTTGTGCTGTGGTGTCGCTCAGCTGTCTGCTCTTTTTTCCTTGCCCGCCACTCACTGGTGGCCTCTAGCCATGTACTTCCTCAAAGAAACACACACCTAATGGTAAATAAAGACTTGGCAAACCAGTAGGCTGACATCAGATCAGGACCTTGCTCTTAATACACACCTTAATCCTGGATATATCCTAATTTTATGTGTGTTTTTGAAGGTATTGCTTTGCGTATCGTGGAACCTGGAATTTTCACACATTGCAATGGACTGCATTGCCAGATTTGCTCCTGGATTGATTTGAAAATGCAAGGAAGGGGCTGGGAATCAGACCCGCTCTAGAAACAAGAGAAATGCATGTGTTTGGGGCAGTAAAGGATTGGAATATTGTATTTCCTTTAAAATGTTTTCTTACTATTAAATATTAAATGAACCTTGATGTATGTAATTTTATTTTGGAGTGCAAATAATTAAAAAATGTTTCATTTAATCTGATTTTTTTTGTATATTCTCATGCTAGTAATTATGTCCTCTGCTGCTCCCCGTTCTCAGCAGCGGGAGTTTGCTATGCCATCTCCCTCAGACGTACAGTTGCTTGCAAGCAGAGCTGTTGGGCAGGCACAGACCTTTTTAAAGATTTGGATGGCCTGGGGCCGTAGAGTCTGTCTCTGATGAAAAGAGAGCGGAGGGAAGCAGATGCGAAAACGAAGTGTCAGATTGGTTTGGGAGTCTAAGCATTCAAGATAACATCTCAAAAAAAGACTGCCCAAAGTGTAGCCTGATGACACAGGGGTAACTAAGGCAGGACTGATGCTCAGCAGCTTCATGGTGTAAAAAAAAGAGTTCTTTTCAATTTAGGTTTCACAAAGCTATTTCAGGTAAAAATGACCCCCCCCTCCCCCCCTACTCATTAATCTACTGATTAAGTTTATTTAAATGTGTTCTGTACTTATTTAAATGTGACTGTACAAAGAGTTGATCTGTATCTAAGAGGACAGAGAGGATATTAAGTACAAAAATCCCTTTGGACTTCTCTATCCCCAACCAACCCCGGCAAATGGCCGTCCCTCCCTGAGCCTGGTTCTGCCGGAGGTTTCTTCCTGTTAAAAGGGAGTTTTTCCTTCCCACTGTCCCCAAAGCGCTTGCTCATAGGGGGTTCATATGATTGATGGGTTTTTCTCTGTAGTATGTAGGGTAGGGTCTACTTTACAATATAAAACACCTTGAGGCGACTGTTGCTGTGATTTGGAGCTGTATAAATCAATTGAATTGAATTGGAAGAGTGTGTATTGAGAGATGGACGGAGTACTTTAAGAAGCTGCTGAATTATGCAAATGAATAGGAGAGGAAGATGGAGGAAAGTTCATGAATCTGGAAGTGCAGAGGATTAGTCAGGAGGAAATGAGCAGGTTAAAGAGCATAAAGGCAGCTAGTCCAGATAACATACTTGTGGGGCAGTGAACTGTTTAACTAGAGCATGTAATACAATCTTTTACCGATTTACAAGAATGAGGGTGATGTAAGAACTATAGATGGATAACGCTGATGAGTCATGAAGCAATGAGAATGAGTTGTAGAAGCTAGGTTAAGAAGAGGGGCGACGATCAATGTGTAATGTGTATGGGCTCATGTTGAGATGGGGTTAGGGTTAGGCACAACAGGCGTGATGATTGCTTTGAGAGTATTGATGGAGAAGCATGGAGAAGATCAGAAGGAGCTGCACTGTCTTTGTGGATCTAGAGGAAACGTAACAGGAAGGTATGCTCTGGAGAGAAGATGAATGAAAGTCAGTAGAAGAAGTAAGAAATGAGTGAAATCAGAGAGACAGATTCATGGACGTATTGAAGGATATGCAGAGGGTTGTGTGAAATAGGAGGATACTAGGGATAGGGCAAGATGAAAGCCAGTGAGCTGCTGTGGTGACCCCTAAAGGGAAGAAGAAGAAGGACCATACATACTATTGTTACTGCTGAACTGTAATAACCTCAATCACCTGAACGACATTCACCTCATGATGAACTGAGATACTAGTGACCATAGTGTGTAGTGGTTAACACATTTGCCTAACAGGTGAAAGATCCCTGGTTGGAGACTGGGAGAGGACACAAATAGGGTTGGATGAACCCACCAATGTTATCTCGTGTTCTAAAAGACCTTTAGTGTGAGTTGTGATTTATTCTGTGAGTTCAAGTGCTTTTCTTGTAAAGGCAGTCAGATACTCGGTCATCACTGTCGTCATCTCCAACTCTGCCTGGTTGATAACTGACTGATAAACGAAATAAATCCTCACCTCATCAGATCCTGAGCCAAAGATGAGCAAGTCAAAAGGGATGGCAGCCACCATGTCTATGAGGAACCAGCCTTTAAAGTAGTGGATGGCGATCTTGGCTGGGTGGCTGACCACCTCCTCATTGGTGTTGACGTAAGTCGTCCTAAAATTTATAAGGATGTCCACTATAAACATAATGTCAACTATCAGATCAACCACATTGAGGGGCGAGCAGGAATAACCACACTCCCGTCTCCTCTGCTCCTCAATGTCATTGAGGAGGAAGGCAGCAGAGTAGGGGGTGAAAATGGCCGTGTAGATGACCAGCAGCAGGATCAGCCAGTCCCAAACTGCTTTGAATGGACTGTAGTGAAGAATGGTCCACTTATCCATCCGTGGTGTCTGGAGTTTGTATTCAGGAAGCACATCGGCACCCAGAGAAAGAACCTAGTGAAAAACAAAGAGAACTTTTAAAATTTTACTGCCTTTAACATTCGCTATCTGTGTTCAAATACACACACATTTTGGGAAATAAAAGTGTAATACGGTGCTTTTTCTTGCAGATTCTTTGCAAATTTGTTTTTATTGAGGACTTCACTGATTGCCTTTGCAGTGCCTGGGAGAAGCTTTCAATTTCTATTTCTGTTTTACGACACCATCAGCAATATTTTCAGAATGAAGGGTCAGGCGAAAGGATTAAAATTTTAACTACATGGACATTTCAAAGAGTCTGTAAGAAGATTTGCATCACAGGAAATACAGGATGAGCATTGTTTTTGATTAAGAGTCAGAACTTATTATTTGCCACTTTGAGTCTCTACTTTGTGAAGGTGCAACAAATCTAAGAACTGCATGCACTTAACAATCTTAAATATGCTCTGTTTTTTGAGAAATTTAGTTAAATACAAGAAAATTTGAAAATATTTACACTAAGCGTTTGCATGTCTGCTCTCTTACATTGCTGGGCATGCTAGTAAGTGGAATTGCATACAGTCATGGTGATAAATATCAGTACATATTAAAAATCAACTTGTCCTTAGCAGCTCTTAAAGTAAGGTAAATATAAAGTTAGATGAATAATTATTAAGCTAAAATGAAGAAGCAGTGTGCGAAAAATTATAGTACACAATGTCCACAGTTTGGACTGAGAAGAAAGACGGTTTGGAGTAAAGGAGGCCATTTACGTCCACTGTGACAAACCATCGAGGTGACCTCTAGAGCTCATATGACGGTGGGGTCGGGTGATGCCTTGTAATGTTAGCGGAGGGGGTAATGACCCCGCCTTTTTTCACATCTTGGTTCATGTGATAACCCGCATGATTAATAGTGGGTCATTGACCCTCAGCACCACCCCCAAGGCGTTGGTGTACGGCAGGGGTAGGCAACTCCAGGCCTGTCCTGCAGGTTATAGATGTGTCCTTGAGCAAGCACAGCTGATTTAAATGGCTAAATGACCTCCTCAACATGTCTTGAAGTTCTCCAGAGGCCTGGTAATGAACTAGTTGTTTGATTCAGGTGTGTTGACCCAGGGTGATATCTAAAACCTGCAGGACGCCCTTGAGGCCTGGAGTTGCCCACCTCTGGTCTGAGGGTTAAGGGTTAATTTCCTGGGACTCTCCATCAGTTGTTTTAAAACTGAAGAAGCCTCTGATGACAGGAGGAATATCTTCACTATCCTAAAGAAGTCACTGTGGCTCAAGTTTTAAAAAAGTTTAGTTTTAATTAAGTTTGAAATCAAATTTGCTATGAAAAAGACAAACAGGCTACGAGAAACAGAAGAAAACAGACGAAGGTGCATGTGATCTGTCAACCCCACATGAAAAAAACAAAACAAAACTCCTGATTATCCAACATCTGTGGGAGAGTGCCAAGAAATTAGACTGTAAGTGATAACATCCTAGCAATGACATGCCATATTTTATGAAAGATAATTTAGGATAAGATGAGATAAGGAATACTGGAATATGTTTAAATGAAGGTTAAAGCCTACATCAATGTTACAGAGCACATGGAAAACAAATGGCCACAAACCTCGTTGAACTAAAGTAATGATGTAAACAGGTAACTGCTGCTAAAGGTGGTTCTACAAGATACTGAATCATGGGGTGTACTTAGTTTTATTTTGGCTTTGATATCATAAAGACAACATGTAATAAGTCATCAATTGTTAATCTGAAATTGTAAGACCTGATAAGGACCTTTTTAATAATGCCCTTATACGTAAAGCCGTGGAATTAACAAAATTTATATTTTCTTTAGATTAGGTCAAGTAAAATTCAAAAGAAAAGACTTATCGCTGTGTGAATAATGCAGCTGTACATCATATAGATTCAGATGTAATGCACTTCACCATTATCTGTCATCCACAAGAACATCTTGCACATTACTTTAGGCATGATTTCCAATAAATAAATACTTCTCCAGTGCCTGTTTACAGAAACTCTTAAAATTGAAGCTTCAGTTGAGGGAGTGATACCTTTTATTATTATTATTTGTAAGAATATTGTTTATAAGAACAGAAACTGAACATATCAAACCAAAATAAAATGACGATGCATCAACTGCATATAGAAAAATAAGAGCATGCATAAATGTCAAAATGTATCATCAAGACTGGAGGTATAATCCATTCCGGCAAGCCTGAATGTCAACATAATTATCTCTGTTATTGCAGTCACCATATAAACTACAGAACCTAATAGCTTTTAACATGAATATTAAAGCAGCGTCATGGGACTTTTTTCAGATAAGAGTCTTAGTGACTTGGAGGTAATTATAGGTGCAGGCAGGGGTACAGCTATTCATCTAAGTGTTCAACATTTCAATAGCTACAAATTTTCATTTTCACTGCTGATTATGGCAGAGGGGGTAGGTTTGATGGGTGGGTGTGCAGGTAAATTGCATGCACTACAAAGGCAAAGATACAATTATGATGTGATGTATGTGAGTGAGCATGAGAATGAAACAAGAAGGGAGGGCCTTGAGTGACTTTATTTTGGCATTCATCATATTTTTCATTGCTCCTCTATCGGTGCCCTGTCACCCCTCTATTCTAACCATTGTAACTGGGGAGGTAGGACCGGAGAACAGAAGGATGACGTATAGCACAATGTGGCGTGGTATTAATAATTGAATTGGTTATTAAAAACCCCATCCCTCTGGGAGGAGGGTCAAACGCTTTTACCCTCTGATATGGGATAACCTTTGAAATCGATCAGAAACCAAAGGACAGGCAAAGGGAATGCGCTCTAATATTCATCAAGCTGCCACTTCATTAAAGCTGGATGCTTAAAGTGATGGTTTTAACTCAGAGTTTAATTACTGTTGACTTTGAAATAACACCTTAGATTCCCATTCTTGTAAAATGATTTCTGTTAGGAAGGAGTATAAATGTTGAGAAAAGCTGACATTTGCTGTACCGAGGACGATTGTGGCCCGATCGCTCACATGATCCCACAACCTGCTGGTAATCCTGAGAAAGTTGGTTGATTTGTCAGAGTGACAGTTCTAGATCAAAGTGTTGTAGACATCTGTTTCTAAATTAATGATCCCATCTTAATTATTTAACCTGGTTACAGTAGCCATGTGCACTTGGTCAAATGAACTCTTTCTTGCTGGTTAATGGAAAGCGCATTCTGTGTGTGTCTCGGTCTCAAGCACAAATAAACATTAGCTCTCCCCTTTTCTGGTTTTTCTGGTCTGCACAGTGCACACTGAGATATCATTTATAAGTGCATAGACTGTTATTTGACTCAAGATTCCACCTCAGATAACCGCAAGAAGTATAAACTGCTAAGATGCGGTCATTTGAGCCTCATATGGGGATGAGCCACACGTAGGGCTGTTCGATATAACGATATATATCGGATGACGATATAAAAACGTCTATCATTTCATTTTACACTATCGTTTGTTTCGTGGTGTTGCAAAATAAACTGTTTACGGCAATATTTTTTCATCGTTTTGATGGTCACTGTAGTGGCTATATTAATTTCTTAAAGTTCTCTCTTTCTCTTATATTTTATATAACCACACTACTGACGGACAAGCGCATGTTTTTATTCGTTGTGGTTAGCAACAACTACGGAGCCCCGCTGGGGACATGGGAGAAAAAATAATTAAGACAGACTTTTGCAAACTCGGGATCTCGCAAAACTTTTGCAACGACCTTTCACAATAAAGCTCAAGATCCTGTTGAGACTTTTCCAAAAAAAAATGGATCACGTGAAAGAGCAGATTATTTACGGATGAGAATTTAAAAAAGAGCCGCCAGGTGCTAAAAAATAAACCTTAGACTCAAACGTTAGAACAGGCTTTTCCCCGCAGCACGCCGTGTAATAAATACTCACAAAGAAAACGGCGGCCTTTACAACTTGTGTCTAAAAATGTATAGTTTCATGCATCGGTTGAAACACTCGACTCCAGCTACATGGCGCGCAGCTGGAAACACTTCCCGCAAGTCGAGCTGCCCGAGATTCACAGAATTTACAGAAAATGTTACATTTTTGTGATTTATATCGTTATCGGGACGATAGAATTCTTATATCGGGATATGAGATTTTGGTCATATCGCACAGCCCTAGCCACACGTGCACTGAGAAGTTCAAAATGTAATAAACAGCCTGTGAGGTGCAAGTCTGCTTTCCTTTTTAGCTGATCAGTTTCCTGGGTGAAGCCACCATCTGGCTGCAGTACCTGTGAGGTGGCCATGGCCAACAGAGAGTGTATCTGTTCAGATGCTTTAATCATAACTTCAAATAAACTCTGATGAGTTCAAAGTTGCTTTCAAGACATCTTCTGTCACTTGGTTGTCAAAGTCAGGTGTCCAGAAACCCGCTTACCAATCTAAGCTGTAAAGGAAAGTGATAGGATAGGAAAAGTATATTTTACAGTTATATTCTAGGAAGTATGAAGCTTCTTGATGCTTTCACCACTCTCATGCAGCAACTCTTCTGAGGTGTTGTATTCTACCACATGTTACCCAAGTCAATTAAAACCATATTAAGCCCTCTCTTACTTTGCACTTGTGTGAGAGGACATTGTGCCATTCTGTGGTCCCTCTGCCTCTGGCGTCCGTGTAAGGCCTGCAGCTGAAATTGGCTTTGAGCGCAAACAGGGGTCAGTTTCTGTGTCCTCTATCTGTTACACCATTAATTGGCAAAATGCAAAACTGAGACCTAATCAGTAGTTTCAAGCAGCACTGGCCTACTCCTAGGACTACATTAACTTATAGTTCCATGCCTCTCAGTCCTGGCAGGAAAGGTGAGAATGACCTCTTACACTGTTCGTAACTCTAGAAATATAGCCTGAGCTCTGGATGCTGTCTGACAGCTGTAAGAGAACACTTGGCTATAGACACCTCCAATGCTTTACGTATCAGATCCCTTGAATTTCAGTTAATCATCCTGATGCTGACTGAGGGCATTTGGGAGTGTGCATGCAATCTGCTGATAAAGTGCTCAATCTGTCCAAGTCTGATTTGTGATGATCATAAATGATAATATGATGAATATTATATTAGAATTCTAATTTCTCACTGTTCTCCAGTCTGCACATACTCACAAATCATTACAAATAAATACAGACTAAGGGCCCAAGACATTTCAGTCTATTCCTGATTTTTTGAGTAGTCCTGTTTATGTTGTTATTCTTATTGCAGTGCTGCCTCTGTTTGTTTGGGTGATACATTTGTTTTTATTTTATGTAGGCAAAAACCTTGAAATTACTACTTGTTTCTTCAAGAATGAAAACAGTGATGTAGTATGTTTTATTCCCTTCGCATTGTCCATAACAGTTTGAAGACCCAAATTCATGAGTCCTCAGATGACCAAACACACAGCAAGCACTGTTTAACTGAGGTTGGATAATTCCGAAGGAACAAGGTAATCCAAAAACTAAAACTGGCCTGAGCAATATATGAAAACCACAGAGTGGAAAAGCACTGGCATCAAAGGCAAGGGGATGAACACAGCCAGAGAACATACGTAATCAGACAGACTGTCAACTATCAATAGGAATACAGGACTATAAATAAATACAAAGAATAGAAACTCACAAGGCACAAGTGAAGAAAATGAGGCTGACAGGATGTAAATCCAATGAAAACATTTTTGTTGCGTCTGCAGGTCTCACAGGTAGTAGTATTATTATTTTAAGGATCCAACAGATCATTTTTTGCCTGTAATTCTAAATTACAGGCCCTCAATTTTTCTCCCCATTCACAAACTTGAAACTGGCTCATGTCCTTACCTGTGTGACTTTGTCTGTGACATTGTGAGTGCGATCTTTGACTTTTGGGGCGATGATAGTTTTCTCAGAGGATGGAGGGGAGGGGCACTTCTTATCATTGTTTGCCTCTGAGAAGTTGAGTGTGATCAGGGGAATCTTGTTGATGGTGGAGTACTTGTTGAGGTTGGAGTCGGAAGTTGAGCCAAGCAGGCTTGATTTGATTTGGCTGAGTGGTCCTGAAAAAAGAGCACGGCAGAGGGTGGGTGTTATTATTAGAAGATGCCGTATCTTGTTTTATAGCTGGGCTCTTGTTGATCTCTCTTATGCACTGTCAGTAGTGTTTATTTGGAAGTAGTTGCGACATGGGTAGTGAGCATGGAGTGAATCCTAGTTTTGGAGTGACTTCAACCACAACACAATACCGAGAATACAAAAGATGCTGAAATATAAACTGTACAGCCTTTCAGAGCCTCTCATTAAAACATAATGAACAACACTGTTGGTGAATAAACAGAATGATTTAATGTGCAATCAGAGAGTGCAAGTTCCCATAGTTTGCCAAATCTAGTGCAGTGAACTCACTGTATAGATAAAATTATGTAGTATGATCAGTGAACACTTTGTATGTAGAACACAATCATATTAAAAACGGAACTGTGCGATAGCGCTAAACAAACTGACATGTGGCCCAATGAGAGTGAGAAAAGTGAAAACAAGAAGTTTGCTAATTCAGCTGCGTGAACCAGCAGAGGAAGGATACACTGCCCACCCCACAAAGCACAGTGATTGAGAGTCAAGGACAGAGAAACAGACAGTTGAGGATGAAAGATTGCATGCGCAGCTTCAATACATGCCACAGTCAGGATACATCAAAGCCGTCATAAAAAAACAACTGAAAAGAAAAAAGCTGAAGCCATACCCCCAGCCATCCAGGAGCGAGATACTAGCCAACCAGGAGAGAGAAGAAATAGGAGGTAAAGGAGAAAGTGGGATTATGGAAAGGTGTTTGGGACGTTGGGTCAGTAGTCTCAGGTACAAGCATATCAATAATGTGGCATTACTAGTAAATAGAGCTTGACAGGGGCTCTATCAGTAAACCTTTAGAGGATTAAAAAGGGCAGACTATGATGCTAATGTTGCTATTAATGTGTATTCCATTTGATTACAAAGAGCATATGACTTTTAAAGAACCTGGTTGAATATGTGCTGTACTATGCATTCAACATAGCACTGCAACAGTTCAATTAAGCATGTAAACAGTCAGGTTTCTTTCCATTCACAAAGACAAGATCCAGAGCTTGCACACAAGAAAGCAAAGGTTAAAGACAGTAGGAGGCATCATTTCTTAAGCATTAATTTATCCTCTTCAATGAACAACAAGCAGGAGAGAAGTTTAACGTGCTGCTTCCATGCAAGCATGTGCAGAGGTTACTGTGTTTTCTTTTTAGTGAGCACTTACAGAGGCTGGCTAGGTTTAGGCAGGTCGTGTAGTCATTTAGTGTCTTTCGAGGCCAAAGAACTTACAAACACAGTCATCTGCTGAGGCATTTGCATACAACATGAACCTTTTGTGGGAAAACTCATGCAACAAGCAGGCTTTGACATGTACACGTGTATCATTAGACATGCCGCTATTCACGATCTGAAAATGCAGCAGGTTGCCGTTAGTTACCTTTGATATTGCGACCATTATCTGTGAAGGTGGCAACAGAGTGGGGGAGAAGACAGAAAAAGGGGAGTGGAGGTGAGAGAAGAATTTGTGGGTGTCTATGATGATAAATGGGGGTTGCCGTTAACGACCCGCTACTGTCCCTGTGAACAATGCATTACAGGGAAGTAGATGTATTAAATGTATCTAAATAGGAATTAGAGGCAATTGGAGGAGACTGATTGAGCTGCAGGAAACAGGACCAGTATGGGTCACTCCTACCCTCAACCAAATGAGGACCAAAAGGTGGAAGATCAATACCACAGATTATAGATGTGACCATCTACTGAGGATTCACTAGAACCCCACATAGCTGATATTTTAGGACGACAGTCTTAGTAATGAATTAGATCTGTAAATAAAATATCAATTACATTTGTTTCTTTCTTATATCACATCAATTCAACAAATCAATAAACAAGACATCATCAACCAGTGCTGTGCACTTTGCAGTTTAATGTAAACTAATGTAAACTTTGTTTACCAGTTTAAAGCATTTAAAATAAATACAAAGTGATTATTAAGTAATACCATATATACAGTTCAGCAACTGTTGATGCATATCTGAAAATGTATAAAAGGACACTCTTACCTTCACTGGCATGCCGGTCCCTGAACACCATCTTAGAGTTGGACCCAAAGCCTTCCATGTCATGTACAGAAGAGGCCCTGCGAATACTGCACATACTCTCTCTGGAGGCAGTTGGAGTAAGGCCTGGGATTGATGGAGCTGCAATAAGCGTGTCCTCTTGGCTCTGGTTTTTTGTCTGGGCAACGGCCTGGTCCGGGTACATCCGGTCCCAGGGGCCTTTAGGCGACGAGTGGTCCAAAGGCTCAGACACAGGGGTTGAGCAGTGGCTGGGGCCGATGAGGGCACGGGTGTCATTGGCATAAGAGGGACTGCAGCTCTCTCGAGTGGTGGGAAGTTGGTAGTCGCGTGTTGCTACTGAGCCGTCACTGTAGCGAGGAGAGTCTACCATGACCGCATCAGGGTCTTCCTGGGGCAGGGACTGCTTGCTGATTCCCAGGAGAGGTAAGGCTGGGAGACGGAAACGAAAGAATCTCCCTTTCCCTGACAGAAAACAAGAGAAAAATCAATAATAACAAGTGGTCGCACTGCCTCTGTTTCTCCTATATTGTTCCACACTTATGCCACCAAGATAATATTTTTTTATAATAAGAATATGAATAACAACACTGACAAAGTGTCTCAATTCTGATTAGCACATGTTTTTATACAGTGCCAAATCACAACAACAGTTGCCTCAAGATTCTTTATATTGAAGTAAGAGACCCTAAAGAGGGTAAGACTTTTATTCTGAAACACAAAACTGGTATACCCCAATCCCCTTCGAAGCCTTCCCCAAAACCGCAGCTCAATTAATGTCCAAGCCATTCACCTTTATCTACTAAAACACTGTCAAACCTCAAATGGGAACGTGGGCCCAGTGAGTGAAATAAGATTTAAATTTCCAGCATATCAAATTTCACTTGCTGAGTAATCCTCACCTTTAAAAATAATCTCTCATCTGCTTCCCCGCTCCTCTCTTTCATACATCTGCACTCATCTTTCAGTGTTGTATATTTACAACAACTGTACATTTAGCTTGCAGACACTATTTGTGAGATGCTGCACAGAAACAATTTGTTTCTGCCAGCCAAATGTACAAATGTGTAGATATTTATTAAATCTGTTGAAAAAATCCATTTGAAATTACTTGACACTTAAAAAACCTTACTCAATTTAATCGTGATGCTGAGCGCCATGACAAAAACTTTATTTACATCTACACCATGAACGCATCATAGGAAAAAAAAAGAGATGTGTTCAAGGTGTAAGCACTTTGTGGGATTTCATTTTCTTATTACTGAGCAAGAGGTAAACCCAGTCTAGCTATGGACAGAATGGGGACTGCCCATTCAATCATATCTATTATCCACCTGATCAAAGGTAAAGTAAAAAAACTTTTAAAAAAGTAAAGTAATTTGAGTTTTTCTTCAGGGAGTGACAAAAATAGCCCAGAAAATATGAGTATTGTTGCAAATTTTATCTCTAACCTTTAGCTTCTATTAATGGATTGGAACAAAATATTCTTGCATAGATTTGTTTCTGTCAAGCAGGGAACGCCTGAGGACAATTGATATCACATTTAATGTAACTGATCCACTCAATTAGTGTGAAGACTATTTGACTGTAGTCACACCCAAATAGCATAAAAACAGAGAATACAGTGGATTTTAATGAACCCTGAGAGACACAACCCCCTGTGACCTTGCGGCGTGTTTTTACGGTTTGTTTATAAGAAAACGTGCTTACATTCTTCAGCATCCCTGGTGATACCTCACATTTGTTTGCCAGCATCACTGAAAAGCCTACCAACACAGCTTTCTTAAAAAGACCCTGGCAGATCAACACAAGTGCTTGCTCTGCCTCAGGCACAAGTTCAGGCTTCAGTTTCCTTCAATTATTTATAAGGGAGGACATTTGTGGAAATACTATAGTGTGATGTATAGAAGAGTCAGTCTTATAGGAGATTACAGAGAGTGCTTTAATGAGTGACTGATAGCTTCTGGAGAGATAGTAAAAAGTCATATTTCTGACCATATTGAAACATACGGCAGTTCTGAGGGATGATAGTATAACAATATAAGTTTACTGTAACGCTCCCCACCCCAAAGGCACACACCATTCACACACACATTTACTTGGGTTGTACACTATATGCAAACACCATAAGACATGCTCAGACTTACAGGTTTTCACATACTGTATGCACTGCAAAGTCACCTGAACATATGCTATGCATATAACAATACTCTCTCAGCCTTTAGTCTTACTGCCATGGTGACACAGTGAAAATCAGTAAACACATCACATTATCATGTCTCCTTTGTATATTTTCTGCAGACAGCTACATTGTATACAACATACCGACATATGCAAATAGCGAAAAAGGTATGGATGTATTCAGAAAAGTAGAATTAATGTTTGAGTGTTAGCAGGGAGCAGCCCGTCGCTTTATCTACCTCACCGCTTCTTCTACTGGGGTGAGACTGACAGGGAGGAGAGAGAAAAACTAACTTTAGACACAATGCCAATGTCTGTTTGGGTCAATGTGGTGTGTTTAAATTAAGTCTGGAGCCAGATGCTGATGCCAGAAGTGTTCATTGGCATTTCATTTGAGATTCAGATTGGAAACTCCAATCTGGGATACCGTTCATATTCATCAGGATGAAAACAGGTTGAATCGGCATTCTCGTCTTTGAAAAGCGATTGTGAACAAAAGTCTGTTTCGTGAGAGCTCAGTTCTATTTTTCTAATCACACCACTGTAATATTACAATACTAACATGTTAGACAATTAATTGTGAAGCATTTCACAATTTTAAGGGCCAACACTGACTGCTAAAAGTGACACGTTATGAAAATAATGAACAATATTACTTGCCTCCAATTATTGTGCATGGAGGATAAGTGGACAATGTATGCCACAGCTCCTTAAATTAGTTCATAATTCAGTCACACAGTCAGCGTGTGGTGAGAAAATTGCATGTAGATTTAATTTTGGCACTGAAAGAGCCAAACGTTTCATGGATATGTTGCCCTTTTTGTGACTGCTGTTACTGCATGTACTGTATGCGTCTCTTCCCTCTTTACCCCTCCCGTTCCCTCCCTGCAAAATCTCACTGGCAGCTTTACACAACCAGTACAGTGGCCCTTGTTGCTATGATACCAGATAGTAATATTTGCACTGAATATTAATTGGGTCCTCAGATCCCCATGTTGGGGAGTGAAACATCTTGATGTAATGTGAGCATCATTCAGAGATTACGTTAGAAGCAGAAAGAGAACAACAACCCTCCATGCTGTGGTAAACGCAGGACAAAAACGATGGTGTCTTTTTGTCTCTGTCTTTTGTTCATGAGCTTTTGCTGACACTACATAAAAAAGAGAGTTGTACAGCAGTTAATGTGTTTGCTAAGTGATTTGAAAGCAGATTTCTTTCACCTTAAGAGTTGTTTTCCTAGACTTCCAGCACAGCCCTAGTATTACTCACATGCTCTAGAGCAGGGGTCGGCAACCTGCGGAGCCGCATGTGGCTCTTTAGTCCTTATACTGCAGCTCCGCGTGGTTTGGGAAAATATATTACAAGTATTTAGCTGAAGTGTATTTTTTGTATTCGTTCTTTTTAAACTTGTAGTTCTAAATTGGAAGATTATTGTGACATTGAAATATAAAAATAAAATCAAATTTTATTATTTTTCGTCGCTCAAAATAAGCGTCACAATCGCAGAAGCATCTTTCTTGTAGTCGTCGTTCCAACACAACAACAGTGTGTTTGTTTTGATTTGTAGACCCCGAAAATGGCGCCGCGCTCCCACAATGCATTGCGGCGTGACGTCAACTCCAAAGCCCTATACTCGCCAATATAAACAATATATACACTGTTATCTTCATTTTAGATGTCAAAAAGTATTTGCGGCTCCCAGAGTTTTCTTTTGTGTGGAAACCGGGTCCAAATGGCTCTTTGGGTGTTAAAGGTTGCTGACCCCTGCTCTAGAGGATAACATTTGTATTTCTGCTGGGTCCCAACTTTGCTCTCTGCTTATTTATTACAGAGGAAATTAGCCTGAGTTGATAGTCAAGAGCTTTATTTTATTTATTTTTTAAGTCAGGCAGTTGCCATCGGCGTGTGAAAATATACCAGAGTGATAATCAGTAAAGGTCCCTGGCTGAATTTGAAATAGAAACACTATAGAAGTCAGTGATCAGTATAAAACCTCACAGAAAGAAAGTTCCCCTTAGGTGGGCTCCTGCTGGGTACTCAGGGTTCCTCCCGCAGTCCAAAGACATATGTTATATTCACTGGTCACTCTAAATTGGCTACAGATATAAAGTACACCAATTACTTAAACTGCGTGGACAAGGGTAGAAAAACAAGTAAAGAGGGAAACACTGAAAGCAAAGAAAGAAAGACTAAGACAGAGTCTTAGTAGCCGTGAAGGCTAATCCTGAATAAACTGAAAAGCCATTTCCCCAACAGGAATTTGATGAATCTTTCCTCCTGAGGAAAAAGATAGCTCATAAATAATTTCCCCCAGCTGCTCTTCACTTCCTAGGCTCATCACCACATTCCCCAATGCACAGAAGCCAGTGTGGTTGGTTACAGAAAACTATAGTGCGACTAAATGCTAAAGACAACACATAGCGCCATCAATCCACTAAATCTGCAATTCCTTGCTCGTTTTTTCCTGAAACCTATTCTGAACCTCCTGTTGTTCTACAGTTATAAACACATCATGTGGTTAGATTAGATGCTGAGCTGTAGTGGAGAGCTCAAAATAAATAGTGTCCAACGTGAAAATCTGGTGTCTAATGTAGAGATAGTAAGGAGACAAGCAGAAACCATTGTAACCTTTCAGCAGCATCATTTTTCTAACTTGAGATGCCTAGCATAGACAGAATATTTAGAAGAAGAACTGATATAGGCCTGGGCAAAGTAAGATAAGAGGTGAGACAATTTTAGAGCTACTTTATTGTTCTAATATATCACAAGCAGACAATCTCACATTATAGGAATGAAGGTACCAACAGTCTTAAAAGACAACAAAACTGTGTGAGGCCTTGCTTCCCCTTATAACTTACAAAGTGTTACACAGGTTCAGTGAAGATGAATATAATAGTTCTGGTTGTCAGGGTTACAACAAATGACTTTTTGTACACTGCAGTGAAGAGCACCTGGCACACCAAATCCACACACTACCTTCTCCAAATCGCCCTGCATGTCTTCACCACCTGCACTCATGTGAAAATGAAACACCTTTAATCTTGATTTTGGAATTAAATACAGTATCTGTTTGTTATTTTTTAAAGCTTTTATCTATGTGACATTTACAGTCACCCATAAGACAAAAATTACAAATTATTAACCATTCTCTAATTTTGATATCTGCTCTTTTGAACCTACTGACTATTTTATAAAATAGGCCTCTGGTTCAAAAGTACAAGAAGCTCCAGTGATGATGTAAAGAACACAAACTTTTAGGCACACATATGCTTATTTGACCTGGA